CCGCTCGCCCCCGGCCGCCGGGCCCCGGTCTGACCCGCGGCCCTCCGCCTCCCGTCTCTGCCAGGTCTGCTCCCTGGGCGTCACCACCTTCAGCCTCTGCGCCCTGGGCATCGACCGCTTCCATGTGGCCACCAGCACGCTGCCCAGGCTGCGGCCCGTCGAGCGGTGCCGGTCCATCCTGGCCAAGCTGGCCGTCATCTGGGTGGGCTCCGTGATGCTGGCCGCACCCGAGCTGCTGCTGTGGCAGCTGGCGCAGGAGCCGGGCCCCGCCGCCGGCGCCGTGGACACATGCGTCATGAAGCCTTCGGCCAGCCTGCCCGAGTCCCTCTACTCGCTGGTGATGACCTACCAGAACGCCCGCATGTGGTGGTACTTCGGCTGCTACTTCTGCCTGCCCGTCCTCTTCACCGTCGCCTGCCAGCTGGTCACCTGGCGCGTGCGGGGCCCGCCGGGGAGGCAGCCGGAGTGCCGGGCGGGCAAGCACGAGCCCTGCGAGCGCCAGCTCAACGCCACGGTGGTGGGCCTGGCTGCCGTGTACGCGCTGTGCACGCTGCCCGAGAGCGTCTGCAACGTCGTGCTGGCCTACCTGTCCCCCCAGCTGGCCCGCCACACCCTGGGCCTGCTGGGCCTGGTCACCCAGTTCTCCGCCTTCTTCAAGGGCGCCGCCACACCGGTGCTGCTGCTGTGCGTCTCCCGGCCGCTGGGCCAGGCCTTCCTGGACTGCTGCTGCTGCTGCTGCGCCGAGTGCGGTGAGGCGTGCAGCGCGCCCTCGGAGCCCGCGGCCGCCCCCGGCCCGGACGGCAAGGTCAAGACGGAGCTGTCCCCCTCCATCTACTTCCACAAGCCCAGGGAGTCGCCCCCGCTGCTGCCCCTGGGCACGCCCTGCTGAGGCCCGGCCCCGGGGGCCGCTGGGGGAGGGTCGAGAGAGGGCCCTGGGGTTTCCGTGCCCGGGGGGCTGGCCTTCCTGCCTGGCCTGCTGGCCGGAGGTGGACTGGGCCCCTCGGGCCGAGGTCTGGGCACGTCCGCGCCCCCTCCCCCAGCAGGGCCTTCCTGTCCTCGCCACGGGAGCACGGGGACTCCTGTGGGCCCTCAGCACCGCCCTTCTGGAAACACAGTCCCACCCGCGGGGGGCCCGGAGTGCGGCTGCTCCCCGCCCCGCCCCTCTGCCTGGGACCCTCGCACCCTTCAGGCGTGCCCCCTCGAGCGCCCCCTGCCCGCCCCCCCCCGTCCTGGAATGGGACCAGCCCCACTCAGCTCCTCTCTGGGCCTGACCCATCCCAGACTGGACCTTCCTCCGCCCGGCCCACCACTTCTCCCAGAAGCCTCTCCTTCCCTCCTCCTCCTCCCCCTCCCCCGGCGTGTCCCGGGTCCCCCGTCCCCACGCCCCCCCGCTAGGTGCTCCCCCGTAGCGGCCTTCCACGGAGAACAATAAACTAGGTAGAACACGCCGCCCGCCGCCGACTTCCTTGCGCCCCACCCACCCGGGGGGCCGGGCTCCGGACCCCCTCGGGCCCTTCCTGGCCTGTGGCTGGTGTCCCCCGCCAGCCCTGTGGCCCAGTGGCCACAGAGGGGCCATGTGGATGGGGGGCCGCGTGGATGGGGGGCCCCCGAGTCCTCCTCCGGGTCGGAGCCCAGCTGTCCCCGGGGAGTCAAGGGCTGCCAGCTCTGTCCTCGGCTCCCCTCTGCACAAAGCTCCGTGTGAGGGGCGCCAGCAGCCGTGCCCCCGGGAGCCCCCGGTGTCCCGCCTCTGCCTCTGAGAGCCCCTGTTGTTGTCGCTTAGGACAACTGTGCTGCAGCTGCGTGCCCCCCGTCCCTCCCCCCTCCCTCCTCCCAGCGCCCTGCAGCCCCTCCCGCCAGTCCTGCCTGGGCACCCCACCTCCTCGGGGGGCCTTGGCCCTGTCTGGGCCTGGCGGACCGGCACCAGGGACGCCAGGAGGGCCACTCAGCCCAGGCCACCCACCACTCGCTGCCCCAGCCACTGGGCTGCCTTCGGACCAGGGCCTGCTGGCGGTCTGCCCACAGGGCCCAACCGAGGCCTTCTCGGGGGGACCCTGGGCCCCCTCTCCCTGGCCTGCCCCTCCCACACCCCTTGGCCTCAGCCTGCCCTGGGCCTAGGCCTCCCCCCACCCAGCTCTCCCGGGCATCTTAGCAGCCTTGTTCTCGTTCCCTGGCACCCTCCCCGGGCGGCGATGCGGCCGGGGGCGGGAGGCTGTTGCCGGGTGACGGCTGCCTAGCGCACACCCTCGCTGGGGGGACACCCACCCCTCGCTCAGTGGACCTGTTGCCACAGCGACCACTGCCCCAGCTTTGTCTGTAGGAACTTAGGATGGGGGGCAGGCTGGACGAGGGGCATCCCCTCCCCCACCCCATCCTGGATGCCCAGTGAGGGGGAGGGGCCACGGGTGAGCCGAGGTGAAGTCTGGGCACCGGGCAGGGCTGCGGACGGAGGGCGGGGGCCGGGCGGGGGGTGCCCCTCGGCATCCTGTTTGGGGGGTCTCTTCCTCATGTTGGCCGGCCGGCCAGCTCCATGCCCAGTGGGTGGTGGGGCTCTGAGGCCCTACCGAGGCCACCAGCCACCAGCGCCACCCCCACTGGCCAGCGCAGACGCCCGCAGAGCCCGCCAGCGGGCCAGCCAGGCCTTGGGAAAGAGCCATTGTCCCCCCGCCCAGCCCGGCTGGGGGACAATGTGGCCTTTGTCGCTCGGGGTCCCAGGCTTGGCCGTGGTGGGCGGTGGGCCTGAGCCGGGCATGGACCCCCGCCCTCCGCGGGGCCGGCTGCTGGAGGGCAGCCCTCGGGCCCGGGGTTGGTGGAGGGGAGCCGTGCGGGACCTTGCGCTTTGCGGTGGCGGTCGCCTCACGGCAGTCATGGATGTCCCCTCGCGGCCTCGCCCTCCCCAGGGCTGGTCGCCACAAGGGGACGTGGGGGGGGGGCGCTGAGAGCAGCTGCCTTCCCTTCGAGAGCCCCGCTCTGCAGGGCTGAGCTGGCCAGGCCCCCGCAGCCCTCGCTCCTCGGGTGCGGGCGGGGACCCCGGGACCCCCCCAAGGACAGCGGCTCACACGGTGCTCCTCCCCTCCCCGTCCAGCGTCGAGAGCGCCGTGCACGGCCAGGTCAGGGCCCCGCCGCCTGTCCTGTCTGTGGCCCCTCCCACACCGCCCCCTCCCCGGGGCTGGGGGGAACGCAGGACCCAAGAAAGGCGGTTCCCTGACCTGCTCCCCCGGCTCCAGGCCAGGGGCAGGGCCTGTCACCAGGGAGGGCAGGGGGCAGCCTGACCCCCCCCCTCCAACCTCTTCATGGGGGTGCAGGGTGCACTGGGAAATCACTGAGTCCTGTGGACCAAATCCCACCCAGACCCTCCCTGAACGCCTCTGGTGGTGGTGAGCGCCTCCGTCTGCATCCTCCCCCCCTGCCCCCCCCCCCCGGAAGGAGGAAGCCCCGGATGCCGGGGAGATGGAGCTCTGGGGAGGGCTGGCGGAGCTGGGAGCCGCCAGGGCCGCCCAGGCCCAGGGCCCGCCGGCCTGGGGAGCAGCGTGGCTCCACCTCCCTGCGGGGGCAGGTGAGGGGGTCTCCCTGGAGGGGCCGGTGAGGGGTCCCCGTGTGCTGCGTGCAATGCGGATGCGCCGGCTCCACTTCCAGGGTGAAGGGGGGGCTGGGGGAGGTGGAGCAGTGGGGGCGGAGCTTTGCTGTGAAACTGGGTCAAGATGGCCTCGGATTTGGGTGAGCAGGGCCAGCGGCTGTGAGCGGGGAGGAGGGCTCACAGGTGCCGGTGGGCAGGAAGACGCTGGAAGTGGGCAGGGGGGTAAGCGCACAGCCCCTCCCTGGAAACCAGCAGCCGGGAAGGGAGGCCACCAGGCTCCGCCCTGCGGACAGTGGGCTGGCTCCAGGCGGGCCGTGGGGACGGAGAGCTGGCTGCAGGTGAGGTCCTGGCTGTAAGGAAACGAGGCCCACCCCCCAGCCACGACTTCCCAGGCCCTGGGCAGTCCCTTCCGCAGCTCAAGTGGCACTGACAGCTGTAAGCTCCCAGCTGGGACCACAAGGTCCGACCGGAGACGGAGGAGGCTGGCGAGGGCCCGGCACGCACGAGTGGGCGCCCTGTGAGACCCGCGCCCTGTGAGGTGCCTCTGGGCCCCCTGTGACTGTGTGGCCCCGTCTCTGCGGCTGCTGCCGCCGCCTGCGGAGGCGCCACGGCCCCGGCCCCGGCCAGCCCCTCACGCGCTCTGAGGAGGAAGGGCGGGCACCACACACTCCCGGCACAAAATTGCTAATTTATTCGTGTTGTTAGGAGGCAAAAAAATGTACAGTTACAAGAATCGTTCTCCAAACAGAGGTTAAGAATGAGCTGAAAAGTATAAAAAAAAGAAGGAGGACCGTCACTTTACAAATCATTAAATTAAATAGACGAGCAAACACGAAACCCAGAGAGCCGCGCCCCTGCGGAGTCCTGTCCTCGCGTGACTGCGAGGTGAGGACAGAAAAGCAGGGCACCGGGGCGGGGTGGGGGGCCCCCACACGGGCGCTGGGCTCCTGCCCCTGGGGCCTGCCGGTCCGGGGCAGCTGGCTGCGCTGGGGCCCTACGAGGCTGGGGCGGGAGGGGCTCGTCCGGGACTCTGCCAGCCTGTGACATGCGAGCAGGGACAGCCAGAGCAGGAGGTGGGGCCGCCCAGGACACGGGATGGCCGCCGGTGCCCAGGCTGGCCCCTGCCTGGAGCCCCGGCCCCCACCCCCCCGCCCTGGCCCTGCCCTGAGCCAGCCCGCACCCCACCTCCCCGCCAGGCCGCCCCTCCCAGACCCCCACTGGCCCCTGCAGCATCGAATGGTCGATTTTAGTCTTTGCTTAAATTAAAAAATTAAAATATATATACATATATATACTGTACACACAGGACAATAACAGAAGAGTGTGGGACAGGGCAGGGCGGGAGGGGGACCGGGCAGGGGCAGGAGACAGGGGGCGGGGCCACGGCTGGGGGGAGGGGAGGAAGCAGGGCAGGTGCGGGGACCTCGGGACAGGGGCGGGGGGGCGCGGTTAGGGGACCAGAAGGGCGCGATTTATTTTACAGTAAAAACAGGAGTTCAAACCTCAGCAGAACAGGGCTCTCGGGTGCCCGGAGGGCCCCTCCCCACACCAGTGACGAGGGGGGACTTGGGGGAGGGGGAGCAGGTGGGCGGGGAGCTCGGCTTCAGGTCCGGAGGGGGGTCGCTGGTCCGAGGGGCGGGGCCGCGCTCTCAGCTCCGCCGAGACTTCGAGTGTTGGATAAGCCACTGTAGGGTGATGTCTGGGCGGGGACAAGGGAAGGGTGACAGGGCATGCGGGGCTGGGCCTGGGGGGGCCCCTCCCCCCCCAGCAACACCGCGGGGAGCGACTCGGGAGCCCAGGGCTCCCCACGCTGCGGCCCGGACCCACCCTCAGGCCACCGGAGCCCAGAGCCGGAGGCTGCGAAGGGCCCCAGGTGGGAGGCGGGGCGTCACAGCGCAGGCGGGTCCCGGGGAGCGCCCTGTCGGACCCTGGGGTGTTCCAGGTGGGGCGGCCAGGCCCAGGGCGGGGCCCTCTGCCTGAGGCCACACGGGAGTGGCCGGCAGAGCTGGGAAGGTGCTCGGGATGGGGGCCTCCCCCAGGAGAACCTCGGCCGGGGGGGAGGCTTTGGGAGCCACAGGCTGAACTGCCCCCCACCCCCTACTGCCCAGGACACCCGCAACCCCCAAACCCACGCACCGATGTTGTCTTTTTCTTTGCAGGAGATGGAGTAGCAGCAGATCTCACGATCCTGGATGGCAGATAGATTCCTGGGGAGGGGGGAACCGGAGAGGAATCTGCGCGGGGCCTGGGGTGGGGCCCGAGCGCGAGGCTCCCGGGCAGGTGGGCTCTGCTGCCCCCGTGCGGCCGGCGCCGAGAGCAGACCCGTGCTGGGGAGCAGCCCAGGGGTTTGGAGAGCGAGGGGGCAGGCAGGGACAAGTCCCCAGACTCACATTTTCTCAATGAGCTCCTTCTCATCCAGCGCCCCGGGGAGGTCTCGCTTGTTTCCCAGGACCAAGACCTGCGGAGGAGGGAGGGCCCGGGTTCAGGGCGGGGGACCGGCTTCTGCCCGCCCCCCTGCGTGTCCTCAGCGCGCGCATGTGCACCAGGGGGTCCCCGCGGCTGACCGGGATCCCCTGCAGCTGGGGCTTGTCCAGCAGGTTGTGCAGCTCGTTCTTGGAGGCCTCGATCTTCTCCTGGTCAGCGGCGTCCACCATGTACCTGCGGGAGGCGGCGGGACAGCGCATGAAGGCGGGACGGGAGCTGCGGCCTGGCGGGGGCCCCGGGCGCATTTCCTGGGTGGACGGAGGTGAAACCTGCAGGCACTCCTGGGCCTCGGTGTCCCGTGCCCTGAAGTCCCCCCGCGGGGCTAAGCTCGGGCCTTCAGGGTCAGCGGGGAGACCCCCCCACCCCGCCCAGAGCGACCCGCTGAGGCCTTCGCGGGAAGACCCGTCGGGTCGGGGAACAGAGCCAGGGCAGGCCCCGCTGTCCTGCTCTAAGCAGTCAGGTCACAGAGAGCGGGGACTCAACTTGTGTTTGGGCGTCTGCACACAGAGTGTGCACATCACTTTTAAAAAGCCGGGGAATGAACCCTTTAAACCACACAAAACTCAGGCCAGTGGGGGGGGGGTGGGGGATGGGGGGGCGCGGGGAGGCCGTGAGGAGGGTCGCACAGGCGCCCCCAGCAGGTGAGCGCCCTGCGGAGCAGCGGCAGGCCAGGCCGAGGCGGCAGCTGGTCACGCAGGGGATCACCTCTAACCAGCTCTGAGTCTGGGGCCTCTGGGGGGCGGGGCCTCTGGGGGGCGGGGCCGGCCGGGGAGGCGGGGCCGCGACCCGCGCGCACTCACACGATGGCGCTCACGCCGCGGCAGTAGCGCTCCCACATGCTGCGGAAACGGGGCTGTCCCCCGATGTCCCAGAGCTGCGCAAGAAGAGGGGGCCGCGGTCTCAGCAGCGGGCAGGCAACCAGAACCTCTTGCCTCCCAGGCACCGCCGCCCCCTCCGCCCCCGACCCCGCCATGGCCTGCAGAGGCTCCCCGCTCCCACCCTCCCCTCCCTCCCCGCTACCTTGATGGTCACGTTCCCCTTGGTGATCTTGCGCATGTTGAACCCCACCGTGGGGATCATGTCCTCGTTGAACTGTCCCGACTGGAGGGAGAAGCGAGAATCGGAAAAGGGGCAAAAGTCGACCAGACCCCGCGCACCTCCCAGGTGGCAGCCTGCGAGCGCCACGCAGAGGCCGGGTCCGAGCGCCTCTGGCGTCCCCCTGCGGGTCTCCGGGGCCAGCTCGGGAGCGTCGCAGGCACCCGCCCCCCATCCTGGAGGTCTCCCGTGACCAAGGGCCTCTCTGCACAGACCCACAACGAGCTCTTCCGGAGCTCCGAGCCGGCTCCCCCATTGCAACAGTCCCCTGCCAGCCGCAGAGCCCTGAAGAGGCCGCAGGAAGCGGTCAGGGGTCTCCAGGGCAGCACGCGCGTTTTGGGGGGTAATCCAGCCACCCCCAAATGCAGTGCCCACCCAGCACTTTCTGGACTGTCCCTGGTCCTGCACCTCTGCCCTACCCTGCACTTGTGAGGACGGACCCCCACGCCCTGGGTGGCCCGCGACTGCGCACGCCCCTGCCCAACCACACCCACGGCCTCGGTAAGTGTTGCTGAGCCATGAGGACTTGACTGTGCGTCTACTCCCCAGCACCCATTTTCAAACCCTAATACTTTCCGTTTCTCCTCTGTAAATTGTCTCCGAGATCTCTGGAGTGTGTTCCCAAGTAGCCAGAGGCCTCGACTGAGGGCAGACCAAACTCAGGGTCATGTCCAGGTCTCACAGAGGAACACAGACTTAACCTGGTCCCTGAGGGCGACAGACCCTGCTTTCCTCCATCGGGGGGGCAGGAGTGAGCCATCTCGGGCCCCAGGGAGAGGCCGGGGTTCTGACCATTATTAGCAAGGTGCCCAGGGGCGGCCGACCCGGGGCCCAGGCGGGCTGTGAGTGCGGCCCAGCACAAAATTGCACATTTACTAAACACATTATGAGATGTTTTTGTGATTACGTGTCGCAGTGTATCTAACGTGCGGCCCAAGACAACCCTTCCTCTTTCGGCGTGGCCCATAGACACCCAAAGCCTGGACACCCTTGGCAGGAGATGGGGTGTCTTCCTCCGAGCTGTGCGACTGCCCCCTGACCGAGACTGAGGCCCCTCTGACCGAGAGCACCCAGATCCCCGGTGACCTGCAGGAACCCCCACCCCGTTCAGGCCCTCAGATGGGAGGCCGGGAGCCCAGGACTCCCGTTCCAGATGGGACCGAGGGCCGGGGGACCCCCACACCCCCCCCCCGGCACCGCGCAAGCTGTGTGCTCATGCTTCTGCCCGTGTGTGTGGTCTCGGGGGAAAGGGCATCCAAGCTCTGTCTGATGTCAAGAGGTCAAGAGCCTCCCCAGGTCAGGAGTCCCCGAGGAAAGGCGGGGCCCCAAGGGGCTGCTCCTTTTCTGGCGGAGTAGAGACAGCCACTCGAGCCCCAGCGGGGCGCCTGCCGGGGTGGGGGCAGGCGTCTGCGGGACCAGTGTCCACTCCACCCCCATCCTGGCTGGTGGGGACATCGAGCCCAGGCACTGGTGACCTGCCGTCCTGCAGGAGGTGGGGCAGGACGCCCGAGCCTCCGGGCCTCAGGGTCTCCTGCTAGGACAGGGTGTCCAAGTCATTGTGGCCGGGGGCCACAGCAGCCTGGCGGCTGCCTTCCAAGGGCCGAATGCGATTTCAGGACTGCGTAGATGTAACTGCTCCCTAACCAGGGGCAAGGGGCCGGGCGCTGCCGCCGGGTCGAAACAAGGGCCCGGCCGGGTAAAACCAGGTGGAGGGCATGGTCTTGTGTTTGCCACCTGTGCCCTATGACGTGGGGACAGGGCTTCTGTTCCCAAGCTGGCGGGCGAGGGTCACACAAGCCTGGATGTGGTGGATACGGCACGAGGACCCGTCACCGCTCCCCGGGAACCAGGGGACCCTCAGGGCCCCTGTGCGATGGAAAGCCCAGCCTGGGCGCTGTGACCTCGGGCCAACAGGGTGCCCAGAGCACCTGCCGGCTGCCAGTGCAGCTGTGAACCGCGCTGACCAGGACCCTGTGCAGACTTCCTGTCCGTGCTCACGCCTCCCGATCTCCCAAGTTCCTTTCTGAAGGTCAGGAGCAGCCCCGGCTGCTGTGGCTCAGTGGGCTGAGCGCCCGCCTGCGAACCGAAAGGTTACCGGTTGGATTCCGGGTTGGGGCACCTGCCTGGGTTGTGGCCCCCAGTGGGGGGGCCTACAAGAGACAGCCAACCAATGTTTCTCCCCCTCTCTTTCTCCCTCCCTTCCCCTGTCTCTAAAAATAAATAACTATCATCTTAAAAAAAAAAAAAGAAGTTACCTGCGGTTGGTCAACCACAGTCCAAAAATATTAAGTGGAAAATTCCAGGAACACACAGTTCATAAGTTTAAAGTGCGCACCATTCTGAGCAGCGCGATGGAATCTCGCACCACCCCACTTGTCCCGCCGGCCGAGCTGTGACGGCCGAGCTGTGAATCACCGCTTTGTCCGGTCCCCACACACACGCACGCGCAGGACAATGAGACAGTTTGTGAGCGAGAGACCGCATCCCGCAACTCTGATTTAGGTACGTTGTTACAACGGTTCGGTTTTGTTACCAGTCGTTGTTGTTAGTCTCTCGCTGTGTCCGGTTTACAAAGTAAACTTTGGCGCAGGGTTGTTCCGTGCTATCCCCGGTGTCGGGCACTCACGGGGGCCTGGGCTCGTTTCCCCCACAGAGAAGGGGAGACCACTGTGGGCCTGAGGCCGGCCAGTCCACCCCCTTGTCTCCAGCCCGAAGCCCCTCCGGCCCTTCCACGGTGGGTCAGCTCCAGCTCTCCCCCAGTGCCCCTTCCCGTGACTCCCACCCCAAGGCACACCTTTAACCATCTGAGAACCGCCCTCTCCCCTCCCTCGGGCAAAACACCGCCTCCGTTCTAGCAGCACACCTTTTCGGAACTCAAAGATGAGCGTTAGGTTCCTAGAAACACTGTCTCTGATTCTTTCCCAGCTGGTCGCACCAGCTGGACCCCTCACCTCGGTTTGCCTTTGCAGACCTCCCGGGGTGAGAAAAACCAGGTGGACAAGAAGCGGAGACAAGCGCTTGGGAGGAGACACTGAGGACATCGCTGCTGGGCTGGGTCCCAGTCTCCGCTTCCCTCGGAATGACCCTCTCTGGAGGGAGTGCTCGGGGTGTGGGGCGTGCGTGCGGGGTGTGGGGGGCCCTGGAGGGCCTAGGCCCCGAGCGATCCTGACCCACAGCCCCTCGCAGCCCGGGGGTGGCTCCCCAAAGGGACACTCGCTTGCATGCTGGGACTTGTGCACTGAAGGACACATTTCATATCAGAAGGGGGAGGCCCATGCTGGGGGGGGCCGTGCCTGCACCTCCCGGCACCCGACCCTGACAGAGGAACCTGCTGCGGTCGAATTCTGCCCCCGCCCCCGCCCCGCCCCGGCACCCCAGGCTCTGGGCGCGACGCTGGCCCTTCGGACGCCCTTCGGACCAGGAGACAGAGACCGCTGGGGTGCCCTCGGAGGCCGGTCCGGGGCCCGGGAGCACGGCTTCCGTGATGCTGCGCGCAAAGGTCCCCGGGGACACCCAGGCTCAGCCTCTAGGGCGGCAGCCACTCACTTCCCCTCTCGGCCATACCCTGGAGACGTCTCCTGGAGACGAACCCTGGCTACGAACGCCGGGAAGCCGTGCCACCCGGGCCTGGGGGATCCGGGTCCGGCCCTGCACTCCCGCTCACGGAGCCCGGGGCCCAGGTCTGAGCCAAGTGTAACCAGTGGTGTCCGGCCCCAGGGCCCGAGGCTGGGTGGACAGGAACTCAGGAACCATGGTGCCCAGACAGCCAGCTCGGGCCTGAAGGTCCTGCCCAGACACCGCTCTGCTGCCACGCAGAGTCTGAGGAAGGCAGCTGGCGCCAGGACGTGGGGCCCCAGGGTGCCCGCTCCTCCAGCCTCTGGTCTTGGGGAACGCTTCTTCCAGGGACCTGTCAAGCAGGCTGGCTGGCCGGCCACACTTCTGTGCTGACCTACCTCATCGGCATTCCTGGCCAGTCTCCGGCCAGTCCACAATTCTGATGGTCCCCAGCATGGGGACACGGGGGCCGGGACCAGGTCCCAACCTTCCCGCGCCCCCAGCTGGACCCAGCGGGGCTGGGCCACGCAGGCCGCAGCCTGGGCCCCCACACCGCAGGGCTCATCTTCCCCTTTTCTCCGGAGACAGAGGCTTTAACCCCTGCCGCACCGCTGCCCGGGCACCGAGCCTCCCAATCTCCCACCCCCGTCCTGACTGCGGGGGGCCAGCGGGGCCACGGCCTCCCAGGCCCCAGAGTGGGCAGCGCCCCTCTGGCTCATCCCTGGCCCCTAGCACCTCCTCCTGCAACTTCTGAGCCAGGCGGGGCCTCCAAACTCCCTTCACGATGCCCTCCTCCCGGACACCCCCGGACGCGCCCCTTGCCGAGGGCGTCCTGGGACCGGACTCTGGGCTCCAGCCCAGGGCCTCAGCTGCCGATTCCACTAACCCCGGGGACACCTCCCCTCCCCCTCAGCAGCGCCCCGGCTTCCTCTTCCGGCAAGAAGGGGTTAAAGCATCAGGGTGCGGCTGGCCCAGGCCCCCTCCCAAGGCCCTGCGGCCACCGGGTCGGCGCGCTGGGTGGGCAGGCCCAGCGCTTTCGCCCCGTCATGCCCCCTTGCGCGGGGGGTGGAAAGGCCGTCGCGCCGGGCGGGGGATCCCTCCGGCCTCGTGACCCCTCGGGGCCGCAGGTCCCGGGCACCAGCCTTGTCCCTGGTCCCCCGCCCCTGCCGTGCCATCCGGGCCGGGCGGGAGCGCGGATGGCGCGCCCCCGGGTCCCCGCGGGCCGTGCTAGGCCCCAGGCGCCGGGCCGCTCCTCCCCGCGGCACCTGGCTGGGCCGGGCGGCGACCGGCCGCCCCCTCCACCGGCGCGGCAGGCGGGCACAGGCCGACCTCCGCGCCCCGCGCCCCGTACCGCGATCACGTTGACGAAGGTGGTCTTGCCCGAATACTGCAGCCCGACCAGCGTGAGCTCCATCTCCTCCTTCCAGAACAGGGCCTTGAACCAGTCCAGCAGCTTGTTGAACAAAGCGATCATGGTCGCTGCTCTCGCGCTCGGCCAGAGCGGCCTCGGTGCGCCGGGTCCGCGGGGGTGCGCGGGGCTCGGGCGCGGGGCGACTCGCGGCCGGATCCGCTCGCTGCTGGGTGTGGCCTCGGCGCCTCCTCCGCCGCCGCCCCCCGCGCTCCCGGAGCCGAGCCGGGGCCGTGTCCTGCTCGCGCCCGAGCGCGCGCGCCTTCTGCCGGAGCGGGGCCGGGGCGGGGTGCGCGGGGAGCGCGGGGCCCTCGGGCTGCGGCGTCCGGGCCGCTCGGGGAGGGAGGACTCGGTTTATTCGTCCCCTTCCCGCGCGGCCGCGCCCGACTGGCACCTCCTTCCTTCCTGAGGGGTGGTGGGCCCGGGCACGTGAGGTCCCCAGAAAGCGGGAGCACGTGACGGGGGCGGAGAGGGTGCCTCACCCACTTCCCAGGACACGGGGACCGGGCCTCTGTGGCGGGGGCCGCGGGGGCTTTGTTCCCGCATCCCGGCCTGCGAGCGTCCCGGGGCGCGTCCCCTCCCCTGGCGCGGGCCCAGCAGGGGTCACACGGGGGTTGGGTGTTTCCGAGGCATCTTGTTTTGTTCACAGCTCACCCAGAACCACTTGTGTGGGGCCATCTGGCCCAAGGTGTGGATGTTTGAGGTCGGTGCTGATTTCTTTTCTAATATCACCATGATACTTAGGAAAAAATCATGCGGGGGGGGCGGTGTACAGTGAGAAAGGCTGGCAGCAAGTGAAAAAGTGGCCTGTTTGGGTGAAAGCCGAAGTTTCTTCCCAGAGTCCTGCCAGGACGCCCCTGGGCCTCTGGGGGCCCAGCCCAACCCCAGGGCTGCCGCACCCAGCGGTCCCAGGCTCCCGGCCACCCCCGCCCCCTGCCAGGTGCTCCCACATGCAGGCCACTCCAGTCAAAGGTGCATAAGCTGCCGTCGGCCATCTGTCACTCCCGCTGCAGAGGGCCCCAGAGGAGCAGGCATCGGCCCGTGGGAGCCCCGGCCCCGGTCCAGCACAGCATTCTGGGGGCACAAGCATCACCTCCCTGGACTCCGCCCTGCATGGGCCCCTCTCTAGCTCGCCGGGTGCACGCCGCCCATTTCCTATACTGACGCGGTTTCACTCCGTGCACGTGTCCCCGGGAGGGCCAGGAAAGTCCCTGGACAGCCGCGGCCTGCCCTGGTCTGCGGCTTCCCTTTCTCTGTGCTGCTACAAAGAGATCCCAGGGGCCCGAGGAGTCGGTGGAGGGATGGAGAGAATTGGCCGCTCGAGGCTTTTATTTTCTCACTCGGTTCCTTCTCCAGAGCGGCGCCCCCTGCGGGCACCCCCTGTGGGCGCCGACCGTGGTGGGGCCGAGGGCCCGGGGCGGGGGAGCCCGCCTCCACACTGGGGCCGTCTGCGTCCGGGCAGGGCCCCCGGGAGCACAGGGCCCAGCTGCCCGGGCACACAGGGCGCCCAGCCCCCTGCAGGGCTGTGGGGAAGGTGGGCTTCCCCAGCAGGGCCGGGCGGAAGCGTGAAGAAAACAGCTCCGTCTCTGCCCCGCCGGGGGTGCGGGGCCTCTCTCGGGAGGAGCCGGGGTGAGTGGCCAGTAGGCAGCTCCGGAGGCAGGGCCGCGCCTCTGGGCCTGGGAGGGGGGTCCCCACACGTTCCCTCTTCCTGAGATGTCAGCAGCCCGGCCTGTTCCTCCGCACACCCGTCACCCCCGGGACACCTGTGGGCTCAGAGGGCGTCCGAGAGGCTGACGCCCTCACAGGTGTGGGGTGAGGAGGTGCGTCCCGGCAGGGCAATCCGACCGAGGTCCGGACAGGCCTCTGGCCCCAGCATCCGGTCTGTCCTGGGCAGGGCGCAGGGCCAGGCGGTCCTGACGGCCCGGGAGGGCGGGGCCACGAGCCGTTTCCCACCGTTTTTCCTGAGCGGCAGCAAAGCGCAGGTGTCCCTGCCGGTTGCGTGGAGGCCGCCGCTCACAGGGCGCCTGGGCGGCTCTCGCAGGTGTGCTGAGAGCCCCCCGTCCTCCGGTCAGAGGCACGGGCAGGTTCCCCTGGGGTCCGCTTGGGGCAACCAGGGCGAGCAGAGGGGCGGCCAGTGGGGAGGACCTGGTGTCTGGCTGTGGCCGTGGCCGATCGGTGTCCTGTGACCCCACGCTGGCCGCGGGGGCCACCCCTTCCCGTGGCCATCCAGGAGGTCCGCAGGTCGGAAGGCCCACCTTCCCAGGCCCGGGGGAGAGGCGCCCGGGCCGGGGCAGGGCACCAGGGCTCAGGGGCCGGGCTCCCCCGGCAGCTGCGCAGCGTACAGGGCCAAGGTGTGGTGCAGGAACTGGTACTGCTCCGCCGTCTGGATCATGCCGCCCCTGTGGGCACAGCACACAGCGTGAGTCCCTCAGGGGCCCCCACTCTGCTGGGGAGCCCACCCCCCCACCTCTCTGCTTCCTACTCCTTCCTGCTGCCCTCAGGCCTGCCCCCCCCCCGGGGAGCCCCCTGCCCCTTCCCTACTCAGGACTGAGCCTGGGGGCTGTGCAGAGAGGACGCCCCCTGCTGGCCACGGTCATGTCAGACCCATCGGCTGCTGGGGCAGAGCAGGCCCAGACTCCCCAGGCCTGGCCAGGAACATTCCTGGGCACCAACCCAGGCCTCCTCGTCCCAGCCGTCTGAGACGGGAGAGCAGTAGCCCCGCGCAGGTGTGCAGCGGGCTCTCACGCCCCCAGCCCACTTCGGCACAGGTTAACTCGGGCCCACGGCCCCTCTCTGTGGAAGGGGCCAGGAGGGCGGAGTAAGAGCTCAGGGAGGCGCACGTCCCAGTCGGCTCGGCCTGCCGGTCCCGGGGCCTTCTCCGCACCCTGCCACTGCCTGGCGTCTAGGACAGGCCCACCCCATCCCTCCACCTTTCCCCCCAGCGGGGGTTTGGGAAGAGCAGAGTCAAAAACCAACAAAACATCACTGAAGGCCGGGGCGGACCCCCAGAGGCACAGCTCATCCCAGGTCCCCGAGCGGAAGTTCTGCGTAGACACGGTCTCTCGGGGGCCAGAGGGACGGCTCCGCCAGCAGAGGGCGCCTGCTCCCTCTCCCCCGGGCAGTGCTCGCTGGCCGCGCACCTGTGGGAGGCTCTGGCCCACCCAGCGTCCTCGCCCCCCTCACGGCCGGGCCCACCTGTCCAGCCGCAGTTGGCACACGATGCCCAGGATGTCCACTTCCCCTCGGGCCCTCAGCTGCTGGCAGCCTATCCGGGTGGCGATGAAGCAGCCGGTCCGGCCAATGCCTGCACTGGGTGTGGCCGGGGGGGTGCGGGAGGTCACGGGTGACCGGAATGGGGGGTGGGGGGCAGGCCCCGAACCATAGGGAAAGTGCCAGGAACTAACGCGGTCGGTTCGGCCCCCGGGGACGTGGGGGCAGGGGGCGGCAAGGCCTTGGCAGGTCACAGCCGGCCCAGGACGAGCGGCATTTCTTACTGACCCCGCTCTGAGCCCGGGCTGGGTCGCCCGCAGGTCCCTGTGGGTGTGTGATAAGCTCGGGACAGCGGTTTCCAACGGCCTGCGCCCACGCTGGCCTGCTGACCCGGGGGCCTCCTTATCTGACCGTGACTTCCTCCCAGCGGCGGACACCGCCCGTCCCCACCTCGGGCCTCCCACGACTCTCTCTTTCGCCCTTGATTTTGAAATCATCCTGGGGCTCCTTCTCGGAACCCCTGATAGAAGCCGCTTGCCACCTTCCCTCCCCAGCCGGGACCACTGTGGGGGGACAGGGGGCTGCATTCTGCTCATTAAGAAAGCGCACTCCCGCGGGGCGTCCTTGTTGGAAGCATGCCCCCTGCACGGCCCCCACTCCACCCCAACCCGCCTCGGACGCTGTCGCCAGGGTACTCCTTCTGAACGTCTCGGCCGGTGCCGGGAGGGCCCCTCACCCTGGGATCCTCCATCACCCCCCTCGCCACTCCTCCTCCCCGTGACCTCCGGGCCACCGGCCTCTGATGCCGCCGGCAACACCGCGTCTCTGGGGCTCTGCGCACGCCGCTCCACCTGCCTGGATGGCGCCCCTCCCCTGGTGGTCTTCCAGGTCTTGGTTCAGCCCGGGCTTGCTGGGACGGCCCGTGTCCTGGGGAACCCCCTCTGGCCCCAGTCCGGGCTGGGCTGCGCGAGGGCGGGCCGCGTACCTGCAGTGGACCACGACGGGCCCCGTGCCGGCTGCCGTCTCCAGGCTGTCCTCCACCTCGGCCACCAGGCGCAGCAGCGGCCCCGCCGACTCCGGGGTCTGGTGGTCAGGCCAGGCCGAGAAGAGGATGTGCCTCACCGACCGGCACTGCTCCTGGTGCTGGCGGGGACACACGGTGCTGGACGGCGGCCTGAGGCCAGGGGCTGGGGCGGGGGGCGCCCCAGCCCAGGGTGCAGGGGGAGGGACCCCGAGCCGGGAAGGCCAGCTCTTCTCCCGCCTGCCACGCTCCACCCCCCACCCCGACGTGCCGGGAAGGAGCTCGGGCTGGGAGAGGGGACTGTCCCCTTGTGCCTCTAGCCAGCATGTGACTCCGGGAAAGTCCCTTCAGCCCACTTTCCTCATCGAGAAAACGGGGACAGGGACATCTTGCCGGGTCCCGCCCCGGGAGGCGGGGGGCAGCGGGCTGAGCGGGAAGAGCCGTGACGAGCACACGGCGCTGGCCAGTATCAGGAGGCACTTCGAAGCACGTCCCTGCGCCCCCTCCCTCCCTCGCCGGGCAGCCCGGCCACCCCAGGCCCTGCCCTGAGAGCGGCCCCCCGCATCCCTCTGTCTTCTGTGCCCCGGAGGCTTCTTGCGGACCCGGGTTCGAGGACGGTGAGAGGAGCAGACCCCGGCCCCAGAGGAGCTGGGGGGCCCTGGGCGCGCACCTGGATGCTGAGCTGCCGCACGGAGTACTCCGGGAGCTCTCTCTCCTCCTGGACACGGATCCGGAAAGGCCCATACGTGTCCTCCTCCGTGGGCCAGTAGTGGACGCATTTCTAGGAGGGAGGGAGCTGGGAGTCAGGGAGGCGTGGATGAGCCGGGCCGGCGGGGCAGCAGGAAGTCCCCACCCCTCCCCTCCCCACCCCACCCCACCCCACCCCTCCCCACCCGCAGATGAGGTGCCCCCCGTCCGGCCGGAAAGCCCCCACGGGGCGTGCGTATCCCCGGAACTTTTCTGGGTGAGTGGGGTGAGCCGGGCCCCCCTGCAGGAGCTCTCCGCCTCCAGGGGGGCTCTGCGCCGCCCCGAGGAGGGGGCTGTGTGTGTGGGGGGGTGCGGCCCTGCCTCCTACCTCCTTGCTCTCCCGGAGCTGAGTGAGCATGACGATGAGGGAGGCGCCTTCCTGCCACACCATCTCCCAGAAGTCCGACACGGTGTTGGGCATGGGGCCCTGGGTGGCGATGTAGACCTTCTCCTGCCCGCCGTAGCCCTGGGGGGGGGGCACGTGGGGAAGGGGGCAGCGGTGAGGGGAGGGCTCTGGGGAGACCGGGCTCCGCAGGTGCCAGGACCGGGCTGAAGCCATGAGTGTGCACAGGCGTGTGCACACGCAGATGCACATGTAGACGCACGCACACACACGCCAGAAGCACACGGTGGGAGGGACAGGGGTTCTGGAGTGAGGCCCGCTGGGCCTGGACCCCTGTCCTGGGGCTGGCTGGCCGGCGGGGCCCCGAAGGCGGTCGCCCTGCCCCCCAGGGGCCTCCGCTGTCTCGTCTGTGAAGGGGGCACCATCTCTGCCTGGCAGGAACACAGCGCAGCTTGGATCCACGGTGTCCCCAGAGACCTGCTTCCCTCTCCCCTGCGCTCTCCTGGCACCAGGTGCCAAGCTGCCCCCCCCCCCACCGTCTGCTGCAGGTCTGGACCCCCGTTTCACCGCCCCACACCCCTCTCACACACTGAGCAGCAGGGGAAGCCCAGCCCGCCAGCCCTCCTGTCTTCCCTTCAGAGCCCTCCGCCACCGGCTGCCCAGCGCGGCGGCGAAACCCGGGCCTCTGCTCCCTGCTTTCTGCCCGCCGGTGGGGATGCTGTTCCCCGGCGTCCCAGGCTCACTAAGGGCCTCGAGTCGGGCTCTCGGCGCCCGACGCCGTGCCACCGCTGCAGGGCCCTAGGTGGCGCTGTTTCCCCGCAGCTCCGGGGCCGGGGCGGTGGGAGGCTCCCACCAGGCCTGCCCCCCCGCCCCCCGTTGCTACGGGTCCCTGGGTGGCTTGATGGGAACCACGTCCACGGCGGAGGGGCTGCGTGGGGACAGGTGAAGGTGGGAGGGGGAGAGAGAGAGGCAGAGGCAGCGAGACGGCCGTCTGGGCAGACCTCGAGCGCCCCCCGCGCGGCCCCGAGAGGCCGGGCTCCACTGCCGCCTCCCGCCCCCGCCACGGTTGGCAGGCGTGCGCCGAGGGGTGGGTTCGGGGCCCTTCTTTCGGCGCGTTTCACATACGCTCTGTGTTCTCGGAGCGTCGTGGGGACTCAGTGACCGGCCCGCCTGGCGGGCCAGCCGTGCGTCGGGGCGGGAGATGGCCCTGGGGACGCCGGCCAGCGCCCCAGGCGCGCGCGGCACTCACGCGGATGTAGTTGGCGTTGATGTAGTCCCCGTCCTCCCGGCTCCGGGCGCGGCCAAGGCAGACGCGGCTCTGCGGATCTAGGCAGTCAAGTCAGCGCGGGTCAGAGGTCAGCAGGTGACCGGCAAGGGCAGGGTGCACGGGGCACGGGCAGTGGGGAGGGGCGGAGAGCAGAGCACTGACGGGTTGTGTCCTGCTGGGGAACGCGGTTGGATCCGAGGGCGGAGCGGATGCTGTTGAGGGGCAGGCAGGGTTCCGGGGCAAAGGCCAGCCTCTCCTCCAAGTGGGGAGGGGCGGCCGTCCCAGCCCCCGGCCCCGCGGGGCGCGGAGGCCACTCCAGAGGGATGCGGTGCGCTCTCAGTGCCCCCGGCTCTGGGCAGAGGGTGCCGGGAACCTCAGGCGGAGGGGGCTCCCAGCTCTGGGGGCTGGGCTGGGTGGTCAGTCCCAGAGCCCTGGGCCTGGGGAGGAGGACGGCCAGGAACCTGAGCTGGGCCCTCAAGGCTGGCTGCTGCGCGGGAGGAGGCTGCTCAGCATGGGGGAGGGAACTGGGCCCAGGCCTCGGGTCCCTCTGGAGCGCAGCAGGTGCTGGTCCCAGGCCCCGGGAGCTCACGGCCCCCGACCTCCGCCCCCACCTCAGGTTCTCCAAGCCCCTCCTCTGCGCGCTCCCCACGGCACCCCCAGGGAAGGGGAAGGAGAAGGTTCGGTGCCACCAGCTGCGTCGCCTTGGGCCGGGCTGTGCACCGGCTATGCCACTCAGTTTCCCCGTTTGCGAAACAGGACACCGTGATAACACCGTAGCGCCCACGTCAGGGGTCCTTCCGAGGGACTCGGAGCGGAGCCTGGCCCCGAGGCCCCCACGGGTGGGGGGCTGACCCCCCCGGAGGCGGGTGTGGCCGTGGCTCTTGCCATGCGGTGTCGGGGTGTCTGCTGCTGAGATGCACCCCACGTGGGCTCCCTGGCGCGTCCCCGGCTGAGGTCGCACGTCCTGGGCGGTGCTGACCCCGGGACAGCCCTGCACCGGCCCCACTCCCGCCGGAGTCCTTACTGGGCAGGATGGTCTTGTAGCGGTCCTTGGAGGCGTGGCCGGGGATGTCCAGGTCTTCTGGGTTGACAAAGTTTGGGGGGATCTTCTAGTGGGGGGAGGGCATGAGTGAGCAGCCGGCACCCCTGTCCGGCCCCCCACCGGTCCCCCCACCCTTTCCTGCTGGAGCCAGGCCCTGGTGGTCGGCCTCCTGGCCACGGCTCGCAGGCCTGGGTGGACGGGGCAGAGGAGGAGCCTGGGGCCGCCCACTCCCCGCAGTCCGGGGTCCCCTCCCCCGGGGGGGCCCGGAGGGGAGGCCCCCTCCCAGTGCCCAGGGCGGGGCGGAGCCTGGGACCCCGAAGGGCTGGCCGGGGGACCCCAGGCTCTCACCAAGAACTCCTCCTCCAGCTGCTGCGGGCTGGGGGGCTGGTGCTGCAGGGCCCAGCGGGTGAGGGGCCGGCCGGCGGTGCGCAGGAAGTGCAGCGTGACCTCCCGCGGCGTGTTCACCGAGCAGATGGGCTCCACGGCGCCCAGGGAGCGCACGTCCAGCACCAGCGCCACGCTGGAGCCCCGCCTGCGGGCACGGCGGCCAGGCCCGGTGAGCGGGCGCCCGCTGCCGCCTGGGCCCTGCTTTCCGTCGTCGCGGACTCGCTGACTCGGGGGCCCTCGAAGCCCCCCGACCCTCGGCCCCCTGAGTCCAGGGTTCGGGCCCCTCTCCGGCTCTTGTCCCCTCCCAGCCAGAACGGGGCAGCCGTGGGCCCAGCTGCCGGCTCTGGCCGCCCGCCTGCCCCGCCCCTGGCCCGGCCCCCAGAGCTGGGACCTGCATTCGGACTCAAGACGGCCCTTCTCCGGGGCCCTGAGCACGGAGTTGGGAGCAGGGACAAGGTTGACATGAAACTCTGTGCCCCAAATTGTGAAGGGCATGCAAATGACATGCAAATGGGCATGGGGTTTCCTCTCCAGACTACAGTCAGCAGCTGAGGGCCCCTGGGCGTCCTGGGCGGTCTGGGGTGGAGGGGTGGTCGGAGGGGCGGGGGGTCAGCAGCGGGCTCGCGGCCCCCGGGAAGGGCCTCACCTCTCCTGCAGCCGCACGTGCTTCTTGGCCGGCGCCTTGGCGGGCGGAGGCTGGGTCATGGCTGTCCCCAAAGACCAGGCTGTCGGCTGTGCTCCGGAGCGCCCCCCACAGGCCTGGACCATGCTGGGGGCTGCTGGGCCCGGGGGAGGCTCACTCAGCCGTGAGGTCTGCCTGGAAGACAGAGCCCTGGGCTGCCGAGCTCTGGGCTGCTGGGCAGCGGAGGGGCCCCAGACCCAGGCCGCCCCTGCCTCCCTCCTCCTCCTCCTGTCGTCGCCGGGGATGGGGGGAGTCCCTGTTCCCCACAAAATGGTGTCGTTTGCCTCAGCAAGGCCAGGCTCTGCACCGGGGGGCCTGGGGTGGCTGGCAGTCTGGGGTTAGAGGAAGGGCAAGATGAGGGTGAAGATTGCGGGTGAAGATGGACAAGAATTCAGAAGGTGCAGAGAGAGTCAGAGAGAGAGGCTGCCCCGGATCCAGGTTCACGGGCCCAAGGTCACGGCCGGGCCCCAGGCGGGGGGCTCAGAGAGAAGGCCGGGGAGGACATTCGGAGCGACTGCTCCGCGGAGAAGGGAGGGGACAGCTCACAGGCAGCACCTGCGAGCCCGGCCCAGGGGCCCTCTCCGAGGCAGAACCCTGCGGCCCCGGACTGCCCGTGGGGGCCGGGGCACGCCGCCCGCCAGCGCCCAGTGGGACCCTCTCTGGACAGCTGGCAGGCGCCTGCCAAGTTCGCCTGGGCTCCCGGGGTCTCCATCCAGAGAGGTAGACTGGGGTGTTCCTTCCTCCTCTGCCCATCCCCCCTCTCCTGCCTCCCAACCGTCACAGGAAATGGCCTCACCGAGCCCTTGAGCGGCAGCGCATGGTGCGGAGACGCTGGGGGCAGGAGAGGGGCACGGAGGTGGGGGGCCATCTCCTCTTGGGGGACGGTCCCCATCGTCCAGAGCCAGGGTCCCACTTCCATGGTGTGTGTGTGTGGGGGGGGTGAGGGTTGTTAGGGTTCCTAAGGCCGCAGGGACCGAGGTGGGGAGGACGGCGGCCCGTGCAGAAGTGGGTCGCACGGTGGGGGGGCTCTCCGCAGCTGGAGGGGCTCCGCAGCAGCCCTCCACTCTGGGCCACCCCCTGCGGCCCTGGCCCTGCGCCCTTGGGACACCAGCCAGGTCGGCACCCATTGCCTAGCCAGACGCTGGCACCCAGTGCGCCCTCCTTGGGGATGCCGTGCACCTCCCGTGGCTCCCACTGCCCCGGGGCCACGGAGCGCCTCCCGCTCCCGCCCCCCGTTCTGGACTCACCGGAGCAGCTGCGCCCCCCAGGGCCGCCTCCAGCCAGCTGTCTGTCTGTCTGTCGGTCTGTCTTTGAGACCGAGGAAGCTTCAGGAAGCCAGCTTCCTCCCCCCGCCCCTCCTCGCCGCCACCCACGCACACCCAGCTGCAGGCTGCCCTCCTCGCCGCCGCCAGGGGTCGGGTGCCTCCTGCCTGTGCCCCTGCGGCGCTGGCCCGGCAGTGCCCCCGCACCTCCGCCCCGGGCCCGAGGCCTGGCGCTGGGGCTGGGCAGGCCGGACATTCCCGACCCCCCAGACCCTTTCCAGACCGGCCTGCGGGCCGTCCCCCCACCGGGATGGTCACATCCAGCAGCTGCCTACTCGCTGGGCAGAGCTCAGCGGGCCCCTGGGGAGCTGCTGCTCAGGCTGACCTTGGCAGAGGCTGGCGTCCATGTCTCTGCTCCTGCCTCAGCACCCGGCCCCGGCTCCACGGGCCACCCCAGAGTGGGGGGTCCACGGTCCGAGCCCAGGTTGCTCCCAGGGCAGGGGCGGGCGCGGACGGGGTGGGCGGGGAGCAGAGGAGGCAGCCGCAGGGCCCCACTGGGGTCGTCCCCCACCCCGGGGCTGAGCCCCGTGGCAGCTCCCGGCCGCCTCCGGTCACAGCCGGGCCAGCCACCGGGGAGGAGACGGCTGGAATGGCTGACTGGAGGGGCTGGGAGTCGTCCCAGGCCCCCAGGCTCCCCCGGGCCCCCCCCCGCACGCCGACACCGACTCGCACTCACAGGTGGCGGATAGTCTGCACCCTCACTGCAGGGCCCACCCGTGTCACCTCTGCTCCCGAGGCGCCGGGGGCCTGGGGAGTGGCCCCCCGCCCCGGCCTCCACGGTCCCCCAGCCCCGCCTCGCCCCGACAGGCCCTGCCGGCTCATGCTCCCGGCACCCTGGTCTCCGTGCACCTGCACACGGCACACGCCCTTCCCTTCCTGGCCCCCGGCCTCCACGGCTCCGTCCTTTCTCTCCCTCCCACCCCTCTGATTCAGCCGTCAAACGGTGACCGACAGAAAGAAGTGAGGTGCAGTGGGCACAGGGGCGGTGCGCAGGGGGCGGTGGGGGGGGCGGGCTGGCCTGCCGCTGGCCCAGGGGCTGGAGACGAACCGGCAGCCCCTGGAGCTGGCGGCCTCCCAGCACGGCCCTGGCTGCAGGCGGTGGGCAGCGGGATGGGCTCCCCCCGAGGCCCGGTGGTCCTGGCCCCTTCCTGCCCCTCTGGGGGTGAGTTTCCCAAGGGGCTGATCAGAGCCAGGGGTCGTTGGTGCCCAAGACCCCGAGGGAGGGGCAGGAGCCCGGGGGTCCCTGAAACCTGTGGGGACTGACATGAGGCTGCCCCCAAACGGGGCGGCCGACGGGGGGGCCCTGAGACCGAAGAGGAGCAGGAGGGGATCGGAAAGAGGGCCACCCCTGAGGGCCACACTGGCGATGGTTATCGAGAACAGGAAGCTGGGGGAGCGCAGGGGGAGGAGGAAGTGGGCAAAGCCTCCCCCCGGGGCTGCCAGTGCCCCTGGTTTCCATGGCCCGAGCCCCACTGGCTGTGAGCACCCCCCTAAACCCCACAAGGCTGCTCCCACGGCAGAGGGAGGAGCTGGGGGCCGAGCTTTGGGGCGAGCACAAGGTGGGGGGCGTGGGGGGTCTCTCAGGTCCCTTCGGGTGTGTCTGGGGGGTCAGTCAGTTCTGCACCCTGCCCACTCCTTTTCCCCATCTGCTGAGAAGCCCGGGGTGTCGGGGAGGTGTGGGGTGAGAATGGCACCCACAAACCCCACCTGGGGGCCTGGGTCACCCCGACTGCTCCCTGGCTGCTGGGGGTGGGGCTGGAGGCCCCTGGGAGAGACCCTGCCCCGAGACCTTCCCCTCCCCGCATCCGTGGACCTGCCTGCAAGGTCCGTGAACCCCCCCCCCCACCGCCGGCCTGCCCCCGCGCCCCCCTGGTGTGGGGGTTATCTTCCAGCCTCCCTAACTCCGGAGCGAGCAGAGCTGCAGCTGAGCCAGAGGCCCCGCGTGTGCCTGGAGGGACCTGCGGGGGCACAGGGTCCCCCTCAGGCTCCGGCCCCAGCAGGACAGTCCGGCTCAGCCCCCGTGCAGAGCTGAGCCCTCGGGGTGGGGGGGCGTGGGGGTGGGGAGAAGCCAGCACAGGAGGGCCCGGGGCAGGTGCAGCACCTGGGTCAGAGCCAGGCTTCTGGCTCCCGGCTCCCAGCCGGACTCTGGGGGCCACACTGCCACCCCTCCCGCCACCCCCAACTCCAGGGCCGCCGGCCCCAGCCCCCGAGTCACAGACTCTCATCCGGAATTCCCAGGAGCTCTGGCTTCCCGGCAGCATCTCCGGAGCCATGCGGGCGGCTGCCAGCCCCCAGGTCAGAGGCCGCCTCCCTGTCAGAGCCCAGAGCAGGGGCCATCCTGTCAGAGCCCAGAGCAGGGTCTCGGGGACTGGGCCCCCTGCCAGAGCCCTGTCCTGCACGCTCCACGGGCCCCTCCCCTCCCTGGCCCTCCTCAGCTCCCCTCTGCAGGAGTCCGGGGTCAGCCTCAGGGCCCGGCCAGCCTCAGGGCCCGGCCAGCCGGTTCCCGGCTGTGTGGGGGAGACGGACCCCCGGGGTCAGGGTCAGGGTCGGACTGTGGCCTGCAGAGGAGGCAGGGAGACGCGTGGTGGGCAGTGGCGCCGGTGCTGCTGGCCGGGGCTGCTGGCGTGTGGCCGGGAGCCCCCAGGCCTGTCCTGCGGTCCGGCCCCCAACCCGGCCCAGTCCCCTGACCCTGGGGCCTGCTGTGGAGGGACTTTCCCGTCACCCCCAGCCGCAGGACCAGCGAATCAGGCCATCTGGGCCCCGGGACCCAGGGCCAGCCTGCCTCCCACAGGCCGAATTCAGGACAGAAGAGCCCCTCCCTCTCCCCAAGGCCCAGAGCCTGTGGAATGGTCGTCCCTCCGTCGTCCCACAGTGTGGCCCTTTCTTCCCAGGGCCCTGTCCCCCTTCCCCCCGGCATCCCTGGATGCTCGCCGCACACCCTCGAGGTCCACACACGCACCCCTGCCCAGCCCCCGCCAGGCTCTGCCCGCAGCCCCGGGCTGCCTGTCCACAGCCTGTCCACCCGGGCTGCCTGTCCACCCGGGCTGCCTGTCCACAGCCTGGTCAGGGGAACCGAGGGGAGCCGGTCTCCCCACCGTGACCTCCCGGGTGTGGGAGCAGGAGCGGGAGACCTGCCTCTCTCCTCCCTGGTGACTGTGCTCCCCCAGCTCCGGCGGGGGGGGGGTGCCTGAGGCCTGGCTTCAAGTGGGAGGGGCGGGCCGGAGAGGGCGGCCTGGGAGGGGCCTGGCTGGCTCCCCTGGCCTCCCGGCCGGCCCTCTCCGGAGGGAGACAGTGAGGTGCTCCGGCCCCGGGCTGGGCCCCGGGCTCTCTCAGGAGAGGATGTGGCTTTGTCTGTGGGGCGAGGCACAGCTCTTGTTTTTGCTGAATGGAGAGGCTGGGCCGGGAGGCTGCTTGTTCTCTCTCTGCCACCTCTCCGGAGCCCCCTGCCCCCTCTGCAGCGGCCCCAGGCTGGCGGGGGCTGGCAGGTGTGCCTCCTGTGGCCAGGTGCCCAGTAGGACTTGCTGAGGGCCTGTGCTGTCCTCAGCAGGCCCCCCCGTGGGGATTCTTGGGAGGGGTCTGAGACACTTCCCCCCCTCCGACCACGTCTGCACTGTCTTTCCTCCTTGGATTCTGAATCCAGGTGTTTCCACTCACTCCTCCCCATTCCGCTGCCGCGGAGATTCTGCCGGCGGTGACACAAGTCGGGGGGCAATCGGGGGCAGGGTTCCTGTCACACCAGCTTCCCTAGTGGCCCTCCCCTGACCTCATTAGGAAGAGCACGTGTGTGCACACACACACACGCATGCACACGCAGCCCTGGAAATCTGATGCGTCTGCAGGACTCCATTTCCCGGCCCCCGGCCCAGGTGCAGGGTCCGGTGGGCGGCTCTGAGGTCTGGGGCGGGCTCCGTCTCCCCAGCTGCCTCGGTCTGCAGGCCCCCACACCCGCCTGCTCACTGCACGGTCCCCTCCCCACTTTCCCTCCTCCTGCCCCGCCCCCTGGCCCCCCCCCCACATGCCCATGGTCTCCCCACTGTCCCACGGTCCCGGGGTGGGGGGTGGGGAGCAGCCTGGGGCTCTAGGCTGGGCTGAAGTGGGGCCTCAGACCGGTGCCGGCCAGGCCTCAGGGAGGCTGCCCCTCCAGCGGGCTGGGCGGTGACGGTGGCGTCTCTGAAGCCCCTCCTGGCTGGAGCGCCTAGGGCACACGTGTGTGTGTGTGTTGGTGCATGTGTGCGCCCTCGCCCTGGCAATCAGACACGGGTGTGCTCGGTGGGGCCTGGGGGGCCGAGGGGTCCCCAGTGCACATGACCCTGCCCTTTGCCCCCGAGGGGCAGAACGCACTGTAGGAACCCACTGCCACCCAGAGGCCTCTCCAGGAAACCCTGGAGGACTTCTGGCGGCTGGCCGCGGGGCGCGGGAGGGGGCAGCAGGTGCTGTCACCGTCTGGCTGAAACCGTGCGGAGAAGGGAGGGTTGAGCACGGCTGCAGTTTCTCAGGACGGCCACCAGGTGGCACGCGTTCTCCTTGCAGGAATGGCCAGGGGTCAGGTCCCGCAGGGATGAGGCCAGTCGGCCCGAGAGAGGTGGGGATCCTGGGGTCCGCCCAGGCTGAGGAAGCAGGGGCACCAGGTCCTCAAGCCCCCAGCTGGGCGCTGTTGTTTCTCCTTGTGTCCACGCGGTCTCGCTCTAGGCCAGGACGGGGTTAGGAGTCAGGTCGGACTGCGGGGGTTTGGAGTGCAAAAGATGGGGGCTCTGCATCAAAGCTGCCTTTCCACAAGCCTCGGGGGCAGGGCCCTGGACAGGGACACCAGGCCCTCTGCTCAGCCCCCGCAGGTGCCCTGCAGGAGGCTCGGATGGGGGAGGAGGGGACGGACCCTGGGCTCCCCAGTGACTCTGTGGGGGGCCCACACCTCAGGACTCCTGCGTGGGTCGTGGGCCCAAAGGACACGGCCTCCCGGCTCCCCTCCACGGCGCCCTGACATCTCCCAGGGATGTGCTGCCTCGGGAACGGCCCCCTCCCTGGCCGGGTGCAGGCTGGCTGGCTGGCTGGCTGGCTGGCTCTCCGCCGCCCAGCATCCCTTCCCTGCCCTGCCCCGCCCCGGCCCGGGTGCATCTCCCCACCCGCCTGGGGAGCCTGGGCCCCGTCCCCTGTCCCAGAGACCCCGTCCAACCTAAGGTCCTTAGCCGCCAGGGCGTGGCCCAGCTGCGGGGAGCCACGGGGACTCAGGGGAGGTTCTGCGGGCTGCGGGCGGCCTCTGGGCAGTGCCCGGGCCAGCCGCCAGGTGGCGCTGCGGACCACGGCGTGCTCTGAGCGACCCGGGCTTGGGACCCACAGGGAGCCTTGCTCCTGGACACCTAAGTCGGCCCCCAGGGGCGGCCGGTCCGCCCCCACAACCGTCGGAGCAGCGCACTGGCGGCCGGGCCACCCCGCACGGTCACCGCGCTGGGCAGGAGCAGAAGAGGTCTGTGCCGGCCGGGCAGGGCAGCCGGGCTCCTGGGCGGCGGCCTGCGCTCGGGGCAGAGTCCGGAGCCGGGAAGACCCGAGCCCGAGGCTGCGCGCGTCCTGCCCGTTCGCCTCCCGGGAGGAGGGGCCGGCCTCTGGATCGCGGGACCCGGGGCCCAGCACGGGGGCGCTTTCCCCGGGGGCAGCCCGCGCCCCGCCCCCTCCGTGTGTTCAGTCTCTGGCGTCTGGGTTACTCCCGGCCCCTGCCCCCGCCCCTCTGCAGGGAGACGAACCGCGCTCCTCTCCGGCCGTCCCGGCCCCCTCTGCCTGCCAGCGGGGCTCCCTGAACCCCGTCACGCCGACGTGAAGGCAGGAGGGGCCAGGTCTTCGTGGCTCCGGATGTCTCTCCTCCACCCCCACCCTGCACACCTGAGGCAGGGGGGAGAGAAAGCGGAGAGCGCCCTGGGGGAGGGGTGCCAGGAGGGGAAACAGAGGCCGGAGAACGGGGAGGGGGGGACGGCCGGGGAGAAGCAGGGGTCCCAGGCCCTTCAGGACTGAACGGACCGGCAGGGGACGAGACCGGGGTGTGTGGGGGGGGCTCAGCAGGTCCCGCCTGCCTCCCCGTCAGTTGGCTCGGTTGTGGCGGCGCCTGCGGCTGGACACCGGTTGTGCCTGTGGAGGGCCCCAGGGGAGCCCCAGAGCGCTGGGGCGCATCCGAGCGGGGGGGCCCTGGAAGGGCCCTGGACTCCCAAACAGAGGGGGAGGGGCTGAGCCGGGAGTTCCTGGTGAAGTGCACGGTGGGGGGGGGGGCAGAGGTCAGGGAGGGCCCTGGCAGGCCTGGCCGGAGAGGGGGGAGCAGAGGGCCGGCGCTCTGCCCCATCAGGACCCTCCCAGAGCGAGGTGAGGGTTGTCCAGTCCCCGTCTCGCTCTGTGTGGATCAGGAGCCCGGGGGCCGGGGCCGCGATGGGTCTCAGGAGGGCAGGCCGGAGAGGCAGCCCTGAGTGCGCGGCGCGGCCCCTTGTGCCAGGGAGGGCGCCTGGACGGCAGGAGCTGAGGACAGGTGAGGGAGGAGCCAGGGCTATGGGGCAGTGAGGCCGGAAGGGCGGACAACCTGGGGAGGCCAGGAGGGGGCTGATGCGGGGGTCTGGGGTGTGCAGGTCCGGGCCGAAGGAGGTCCCCGGCTCCCGGGGTGCACTGCGGCCGCACCCCGGGGAGGCAGGGCAAAGGTGCGAGACCCGAGCCGGCTCCGACCCTGCCCCGGGCCTTGGCTCAGCAAAGGGTCGGTTCCAAGCCGAGAGCCCAGGCCCCTGGGTTCCCGCCTCAGAGTGGCTGAGCCGCAGCTGCCGCTCTGGCCACCAGGTGGCGCCCACCCGCTGCCTCGCGGGCTCAGCCTCGCCTTCTGCGGGGTCTTGAGAGCAGGATCCGGGGGGTCCCGGGCTGCGCCGCACGCAAAGCACGCTCATTGGGTGGAAATGCGCGCCCATTTCCTGGGTCCTTTGCCCACCGCCCCATCCCAGCCGGCAGGGGAGCCCTGGGGGAGGGACGACCCCGCACTTCCCTCCCCTAGGCGGCAGAGGGAGAACAGCCAGGTCGCGGGCTGTCGCCCATCTTTGGAGTGACCTTGACCAAACCGCCCCCCCCCCCCCGGAGTCTCCGTTTCCTCCTGCGGGGGTGGAGGGCTTGGGGGCCTGAGGGCGCTCGAGGTTACTTCCCGAGCGCCGCGCCCCACCCCACCCTCCGCCCCCTGCGTTCCGTGGCTGTCCCTGCAGCCGGAGGGTCGGCGCCCAGGCCCTGGGGCCGGACGGCCCGCGCAGCTCGCCGTCCCGCGGTTTCTCCGCTGGGTTTTCTTCCCCGGGTGGAAGCGCTGCCAGCTCAGAGGAAGGAGGGAAGGGGCGAGTCGGGCGCGACAAGTTTCCTTGACTCCTCCTCCGCCGTGTCTCCCTCCCTCGCCAAGCCCAGCCTGTGAAAAGGAGTAACGCGCTCGCCAATGCCTGCGCAGCGCTGACTGCACCGTCCCGCGCCGCCGCTGCCGCCGCCAGGAGCAGAGCCCGCCTGGCCGCGCACACAGTGCGCCCGCAGCCGCCCGCCGCCAGGTGCCCGGCCCCGCCGCCGCGATGCCCTGCGCGCCCGGGCTGCGCGCGCTGTGGCTGTGCGCCGCGCTCTGCGCCTCCCCGTGCGCCCCCCAGCCCGGCCCGGCGCCGGCCGCCTGCCCGGCCCCCTGCCACTGCCAGGAGGACGGCGTCATGCTGTCGGCCGACTGCTCGGAGCTCGGGCTCTCCGCCGTGCCCCGGGACCTGGCCCCCCTGACGGCTTACCTGTGAGTACCCGCCGCGCGCGCGCGCCCCTGCGGCTCCCTCCTGTGCCTGCCGTGCCCCATTCTGGGGCACCTGCCAGGTGGGTGCCCTGCACATGGTCCTTGGCGAGGGCTCTCCCCTTCCAGTGCACTGCCCCCCGGAGCCGGGGTGGGGATTTGTTGGGGGGGGAGGCAGACTGAACTTCAGGCAAGCTGAGCGCTGGGCTTCTCTTCCCCGTCTCCCAGTCCCCCCCTCGCCCCGGACCCCACCCCCGACTTGTGAGCTCACTGAGGGAGCCCAGGCTGCAGGGGTGCCCCCCCCATCCCCCGCAGCTCTCAGAGCTGGAGGGACTGGGCCGTGTGGCCCTTGTCCTCCGAGAGTGCCCCGGAGGGTGCGTAAAGGTGACGCTGTGCGCTGGAGCAGGACAGCGGAGGGGGGTCCCGGCGGGGAGGAGGGTCGGTCCTCTGAGTGTCCAGGACAGCTGGGCTGACATGGCGCAGGCTGGGCGGCCCTGGTGGAGTGTCCCTGCAGCTGGCAGAGGGGCCCGACCCGCTCCCGCCCGCTCCGGAGGGGACCTGCCAGCACCCTGTCCCTCCGCGGAGGCCTCCTGGCTGCCCTGGGGGCCTCCCTGAAGCGGTGCCATGGGAGGTGCTGGTGGGGACGCCGGTTTGTTGCGGGCAGGCTGGAGGCTGGAAACCAGAGAACCGTTTCCAGAGTCCGGGTTGGGGTGAGACGCCTGGAGAAGGGGCCCTGCTGGGGCAGCTGTCCCCAGGACCGGCTCCTTCACCCTTTCTCCTCGGACCGGGCAGGTGGGAGGCTAGGGCCACCAGGCCAGGGCGGCGTCCCTGCCCCCACCCCCTGCAGCTTTCTGGCTTCGGGGCTGCGGGACCTGGGCGCTGTGAGGGAGGGGGGCTGGGGAGGTTTGCACGAGAGCCCCACGTGTCTGCTGCACCAGACGGAACCAAGGCGCTCGGCACGGGCACGTCCTGGGTGGGCGTGGAGGGCCCTGAAGGGCAGTCCTTGCCGGGACTGTCCTCCCGGCCTCTCGGCCTGGAGCTGGGGGGCCCTCTCTGGGCGCAAGGTGGGGGCCGGGGGCGGGAGTGGGAGGAGAGCCCTTCTGGTCCTGGCGCTGAAGGCAGGGTGCGCGGTGGGCCAAGCCCGGGAGGTGGGGGAACCCACGCAGCCGGCAGAGGCCGGCTCCGCCCCCCAGGGCAGCCCCACCTGCGCCCACGTTACGTGCCGGGGCGTGTGACAGCGGTCCTGTGGCTGGAGAGTTTGGGAACCGGCGTGGGGGCCGAAGACCCCTTTCCTGAGTTGAGGGGGCCGGGGGACACCTTCCAGGCAGAGGGGTCCGTCCCCTCCGGCACCTGCCTTCCTGGACCATCTTTTTCCAGGAAGAGCTTGGGGCAGGGAGGTGCATGGCCGTCCTGGGGGTCCGAGGGCCCCGTGGCCCAAGCTGGTAGAAGAGGAGAGATCTTGCTCGTTCTCATCCCCCCGACCCCCCGGGGCCCTGAAGGCCGCACCGGGGTCTCTGGAGGTGGGATCCTCCACCGAGCCGGTCTCCAGCCTCCCTGGGGCTTGGGGAAGGCCCCTCGGTCTCAGCACACGGCCTGTGCTTCTGGGGGTGGGAGAGGGACAGACGGTGGCCATGGGGGGATGCTGCCGTGGGCTCTGGGATGCGGGGGGAGGGGCGGCGGGAGAGCGCCGGTCCCCTGCCGTGGGCTGTGGAGGGGTCCCCTCTGCGAGGTGGATGCAGGGGTGTCTGGGCAGCCGGCCGGCCGGCCGGAGCAGGGCTCGGAGGAGGGGCCTTCTCTCTCTGCCCCTGGGAGAGCAGCCCAGGGACAGGCGGGGACGGGGCGTGGCAGAGGGGTCCCCCGAGAAGAGCCCGGCCGGGGAGGTCCCGGGGCCCTTCCCGCGCTCAGTGAGGTCGGGCTGTGGGAGTGTCGGAGGTGCCCGCTCGGGCCCCGCACCAGGCAGGCCAGCAGCACCCGCCGAGTGTCATGCAGGTTCACGTTTAACGGTGCGACCACAGTGCCCGGCCGTGTGGGCCACCCGCACCCTGGTCCCTCCCAGCTCTGCCACCCACTGGGAGTCACCGAACCCCTGGGCGCCTCAGCCGCTCGCCCGGTCCACGGAGGGAAGCGGGTGCTCGGGGCGTTACGGGAGGTCACGTCAGTCAGGGTGACTCTCGAGCAGTGGCCGCCACCGCCAGGCCTCCTGCGGGGTGTCCCACGCCGGAGAAGGGAGCTCCTGGGGTCCACCCGAGGGAGGGACCCTGAGCCCAGGGCGGGGGCGGCCCTCCAGGGAACAGGCCCCAGTTGGAGGGAGAGAGGGGTGGGCTGCCAGGCCCTGGTCTGGGCCAAGGCTGGGCTGTCCTGGGGGTGGGGGTCCAACCGGCTGGTGAACACTGGGGATGGGGAGGGAGGGAGTGGGCACTCGGGTCAAGGAGGTGAAAGGTGGGACTGATGGGCTGGATCGCAGGAAGTGGCAGGTGAGGGGGAGACCCCTCGAGGAGCCATGGACGGTGCCGCGGGGCACCGAGGACCTGGGGCCCCAGAAGTCCCCCGTGGGTCCTTGGCACCCCTCCGCGTCTCCAGCTCCTCTCGCGGGGCGCCGACCTCAGCCTCACCCACCTTGGTTCCGGGCAGGACGTCTCTTTGGGTCCAGCGGCCGGCCTTTGCCCCGACCTCCGGTCCAGAGAGGTGGCAGCCTGGCTCCCTGCTGGGTGGGGGCGGGAGGACGGGCCGCAGAGACGCACCGCCGGGCACGGGGCTCTCTCGGGTCAGCCCTCCTGCCGGAAGGGCGTCTCCGTGGGGCTGCTGGGCCGCCCTCCCTGGGGGGGGGGCCCGTCTGGGGCCCCTGGGGGACAGGGAGCCCCGGCCCTGGGGCTCGCCCGTCTGATGGTGACAAGGCCCCTCCCCGCGTCCCACCCGCGTCCGCACGGGGAGGGACAGGGGCACAGAGACAAGCACGCAGGGCTGTCCTCGGGCCGGACGGTCGAGTCGGGTCCCCCCGGCCCCACGTCGACCAGTGTCGGGAGGCGGATGGTGTGAGACAGGCCGCGTCTTGGGCGCCGGTTGGACGAGACCTGAGACGTCCACTCGCTGTGACCCCCAGCCCCCTGCCCGTCAGGCGCGGGGCAGAGGTGGGCGCCACTCCAGCGCCCGGCAGGCTGCTCACGACCTGCTCCAAGAAGGCCTGATGTCAACCCTGCCCGGGGTGCCGGGACCGGCGAGACGGAGGCAGGGGGCCCGGCCACAGCAGAGCTGTGCGCCCCTGGCTAGGTAACTGCCCCCTGGGACTCAGTTTCCCGGTTTGTACAAGGAGCTGGGCTGTGTGGGTCGCCAAGGGAGGGGAGTGAAGGGCTGGGCAGAGGGTCTGGTCAGTGTTGGGGCGAGCTCGGTCAGTGTCCCTATCGAGGTGGCCGAGGCCCGGGGCGTCAGTCCCGGCGGGCTTCCTGGAGGAGCCCTGTTCTGTGAAGGGCGTGGGGCTGGGCTGTGGGGGCGAGGGGGTCAGGGAGACCGAGGGGCTCCTTCGGGACCACAGAGCAGCTTCGGTTTTGTCCTGGCTGGTGTGGGGGTGGGCAGCAGGGGGCAGCGGACCCTGGCCTGCACCCCTCGCCCAGACGGCCCCGCTGAGCCTGTCCTGTGAAGGAGCAGAGGAACCTGGGGAGCGGGGTGTGTCCAGGGGTCGATGTGCAGGTGTCCATTTTCACCGCTGAGGCTGCCCCCATTCCTGACGCCTGAGCTGCAGCGCCCCCACCCCCTACTGGGGGTCTGTGAGCCCAGCTCCTGTTCCCCGTGTTGGTTGCTCGGCTCCCAAACTCTCCTGGACCTCAGCGCCCGCCCGCAGCTGTGGGGGGGCGGGGGACGCGAGTGTGGGAGAGGTGGGGAGCGGCCCCCTCGGAGCCTGGCCGGGCAGGGGACAGGAAGCCCCCGGGAAGGGAGCCGCTGGGGCGGCACCCAGACCGGGCGGCGGGAGGGAGGCAGGGAGGGAAGGGCCAGTTCCAGGAGCACATCCTCTGGGGCCTGTGCGCCCCCCTCAGAGGGCAGCCTGGGGGGCGGCTGGTGGAGGGAGAGTGGGGGCGGGGCCCGCACCCCAGTTCAAAGGAACGGCAGGAAACAGCCGTGGGCCAGAGAAAAGGGAAGCCTCGCACTCTGGCAGGGCGGGCGCGGGGCGCGGCCGGGCGGGGCGGCTGGCGGGGAGAAGAAAGCCATGCCCGGGGCGGAGCGGGCACCTGGCCCGGCCGCCCGCCCGCCCGGTCCCTGGGCGCTCAACCCCGACGGCCCCGCGCACGCTGAGCCCCCCCACCCCCACCCCCATCTGGACCGGTGCCCGCCAGGCGCTGCCGGCGGGGAGGCCCCCGTCCTGGCCCCAGGCGCAGGAGCTGTGCGCCTTTGGGGTCGTCCTTTCACCCGCCCAGGCCTCCTTCCTTCGCCTGGGAGTGGGAACCATGACGCGGGTACTGGGGGGCATAGGGGAGGGGCGGACGCGGCCACACAGCGGAGCCGGGCCGTCCACCTGGCCCCCCTGCCCTGGCCCCGCTCTCGGGTGCCGACGACTGGTATCGTCCCCCCCACACCTGCACTGCCAACGAGCCACAGGGCCGGCCCTGACCGGCGGGCTCCGGCTGCCAGGCCCTCTTCCTGGGCTTCCTTGGGGCGTCCGCCCGCCCCCCGCCCTCCGTCGCTGCTCCTGAAGCCGCCCCACTGACCTCGGGGGGAGAGGGCCTCTCCCGAGGGGGTCTGCGGGCGCCCGGCCCAGGATGCAGGACGGGCCCCTCCTCGCCCCGCCGGCCTGGCCCCTGGTGCTGGAGCTGCTTCAGAGAGGACGAGTCTGGGCGTCCGGTCCCTTCTGTCCGGGGCGTCCCCAGAGGCAGGATCCCTGGTTCTGTGGCACCGGAGTCTCCTCCGGTGGCCCCAGGAGAGGCCACGCAGCCAGGTGCCTGCGTTTGGGGTCCGTGCCTGCCCCGGGATGGGGTCCCCAAGGGGACCAGTGAGGGTCCCCTCGGAGCTCATCCCCG